ATGTTTTATTTACATTTCATATGTTGTCCCCTTACCCCATCCCCCACCCACCCAGGAACCCCCTATCCCCTCATCCCTCCTCCTTCTTCTCTGCGGATGTAACCCCTACCTACCCCCCCTACTCCCACCTCCCCACCCTCAAATTCCCACCCCCTGGGGCGTCCAGCCTTCATGAGGTCAAGGTTCTCTTCTTCCGCCTATGCCCAGCAGGGCCCTCCACTTTTACATATACAGTTGAAGCCATGGATCCCTCCCTAAGTGCTCCCAGGCTGGTGGTTTAGACCCTGGGAGCTGTGGTTGGTTGGTATTGTTGCTCTCTTCATGGTGCCACAAACCCTTTCAGCTCCAATGATCTTCACTCTAACTCCTCCATTGGGAACCCCATGATCAGTTCAATGGCTAGTTGTGAGCATCTGCCTCTGAATATGTCAGACTCTTGCAGACCTCTGAGGAGACATCTATATCAGGCTCTTATCAGCATGCACTTCCTGACTTCCACATCAGCATCTACCTTTGGTGATTGCACATGGGATAGATACTCAGGTGGAAAGGTCTTCAGATGGCCCCTCCTTCAGTTTCTGTCCCTCCTTTGTCTCCATATTTGCTCCCTTGAGTATTTTGTTGCTCCTTCTAAGAAGGACCGAATCACCCCCACTTGGTCTTCCTTCTTCATGAGCTTCATGTGGCCTGTGAGTTGAATCATGGGCATTTCAAGGTTCTGGGCTAATATCCAATAATCAGTGAGTGAATTCCATGAAAAATATGGAAGGCTTCACGAATTTGCGTGTCATCCTTGCACAGGGGCCATGCTAATCTTCTCTGTATCGTTCCAATTTTAGTATATGTGCTGCCGAAGCGAGCACTGGACCACTTCTTTTTTAAAGGTGTAAACAGGGATTTGTGTGCGTGCGTGCGTGCGTGCGTGTGCGTGTGCGTGTGCGTGTGCGTGTGTGCGTGTGTGCGTGTGTGCGTGTGTGTGTGTGTGTGTGTATACTTCCTGCCTAGGGCCCAAGGATGCTATGGATCCCCTAAAATTGGAGTTACAGTTGTAAGTCAAGTATATAGGTGCTGAGGACAGAAACTGAACAGTTGCGGGGCAGTGGTGGCGCACGCCTTTAATCCCAGCACTTGGGAGGCAGAGGTAGGCAGATTTCTGAGTTCGAGGACAGCCTGGTCTACAGACTGAGTTCCAGGACAGCCAGGGCTATACAGAGAAACCCTGTCTCGAAAATTTAAAAAAAGAAAGAAAGAAAAAGAAACTGAGCAGTGTGTGATCTTAACCACTGAGCCACCTTCCCAGCCCCCACATCTTACGTTTTAAAGTAGCATACAAGATAGTGTGTGCATAATCATATTTTGAATTTCTTCATCCCCCTAACCCACTGCCCTTCCTCATCTCCTACCTCTCTCTCACTAGCACCTTTTCAAATCGTCCTGTCTTGTGTTTCGCACCACACGCACTTCATCACCCTCCCCTTCATCACCCTTCCCTTCATCACCCTTCCCTTCATCACCCTCCCCTTCATCACCCTTCCCTTCATCACCCTCCCCTTCATCACCCTCCCCTTCATCAATCACCCTCCCCTTCATCACCCTCCCCTTCATCACCCTCCCCTGCCCTCTTAAAGAGCTCTTCTTCCTTCCCTCATCCCATTCTACTTTAATAAGCACATCCAACGCACACACTCAAATTCCTCATGAGAATGCAGTATCTTGCTTAACATGTCCTTCAGTTCTTCCACCTATTACAGGCCTGAGAGTCCATGTGGAAAGATGGCCTCTAAAGAGGTGGTTAAGATTAAGTAAGAGAGGGGCTGGTGAGATGGCTCAGTGGTGAAGAAGACTGACTGCTCTCCTAGAGGTCATGAGTTCAAATCCCAGCAACCACATGGTGGCTCACAACCATCTGCAATGAGATCTGATGCCCTCATATGGGTGTCTGAAGACAGCTACAGTGTACTTACATATAAT